TTTTGTAAAATGGGTGAAATATTCTCTATTTGTAGCAAATATTAAACTTCTAAATCGGGGTGGGGGTGGAGGAACTTGGGATAAAGCCATATAATTGTATCATACCACAATTTTCTTATGCCCGCAGTCCCACCAGTAAAATGCTTGTGAGGAGATTCACCAGCAGTTCTTGAGGTGATGCTCACGCACCTGAGAACCACCTTCCTCTCCCTGGGGCTGCCAATCATCACTGGTCTTCACAGTCCCCTCTGGGCAGTGATTCTGAGTTCACTTCAGGTAGTACCTTAATGCGATAATCAGCGGCTCTTTATACTGAGATGGTTCTAACATAAATGGACTAAAATTAGAAAAATCCCTTAACAGTTTAGGAAGAGATGTGTTTGTGATAGAGATCATTTGTTTCTTATTCATGAAAAAATAAACTATTTTTAAACAAGTACTCGTTAGTATGTAGCTATTTTCTTGTTTCAAAATATGCAGGATATGGTGATCCAAGCAAGGGAAGAGGCCTTCGCATTTTTCATCAGCTGACCCAAACTTATTCTGGATCAAATTACAAAATCTCTACCAATAGACTGAGCCAAAGTCTATGGTTGCTTTACACTGTGACGTTTACATTTCTTAGGGAAAGAGCCGCCTCTTTATCTTTATTTAGCAGCTGTTTGAAAGCAGTATCTTTTATCACAGAGGGTTGTGTGAGGCCTGTCTCCCACCCCCGCCCCACCCCAGTCCTCAAGGGGGTCCGGCCCCTGCGTGTTCATGGAGCCTGGCAAGGGAAGGGTTTCCCAAGAGCAAATACTGTCATGTCAGTAATTCAGCACCCTAGCAAAGTGTTTACAAAGTGGCAGCTGACAAATGTAATCTGCACAATTATTTTGCATCAAATTTTACTTAGATATTTCTTTGATGTCCATGATGAAATGTGCATTGTGCAAAAAAGTAAAGTTAAAATTTTTGCCTAAAGAATTTTACGAAGAATTCAGGCTGCAGGGAAAGGCATCCTGATTGATCCTTGAATTGTTTAGGGACTAGTTCCTGGACTAGATTCATTCAATGCGTAGGTATATTTTAGGAAATATATATATACTTGGCTCTAACCGGTTTGGCTCAGTGGATAGAGCATCAGCCTGCGGACTGAAGGGTCCCAGGTTCGATTCTAGTCAAGGGCATATACTTCGGTTGCAGGCTCCCTGCCCTGATTGAGGGTGTGTGGGAGGCAACTAATTGATGTCTCTTTCACATCCATGTTTCTGTCTCTCCCTCTCCCACTCTCTTAAAAAACAAACAAACAAACAAAAACTTGCCTACTGGAAAAAATCTACCATTAGTAGATTCAAGAAAAACAGTTCCTATATAGTTGTCTAATATTATCACAAAATAATATTCAATACTTATTAAATGTCATTATTCATTTTCCTTGTTTTTTATTTTAAAATAGTTTTTATTGATTTCAGAGAGAAGCATCAATGATGAGAATCAATGATTGGCTACTTCCTGCACACCCCCTACTGGGGATCTAGTATGTGCCCTGACCAAGTAAGGTAATTGAACCTTAACCTTCCGATTTATAGGACGATGCTCAACCACTGAGCCACACGCACTGTACTTTTCTTTTTGTAAGAACTAAATTGTTGTAGTCAAACATTAAAACGATGTATCAATTTCTTTTACTCAGACTCCCAATTTTTTTAATACAATGTAATGAGTTGCAGTAAAATACAAGTTGTCCAGTTTATTTTTGGTTGTCTTGGTCAGTATATTATAAAAAAAAAAAAAAAAAAAAAAAAATTGAAAACTAAGGAATAGCCCTAACAGGTTTGGCTCAGTGCATAGAGCACCAGCCTTCAGACTGAAAGGTCTCAGGTTCGATTCCAGTCAAGGGCATGTATCTTGGTTGCAGGCACATCCCCAGTAGGGGGTGTGCAGGAGGCAGCTGGTCGATGTTTCTCTCTCATAGATGTTTCTAACTCTCTATCCCTCTCCCTTTCTCTCTGTAAAAAATCAAATATATATATATATATATATATATATATATATATATATATATATATATATATATATATTAAAAACTAAGGAATAGGAGAATCCAAGATGGCGGCATAGGTAACACCTAATTGCAGCCTCACACAACAATTTCAATAAAATACAACTAAAATACAAAACGGACATTACCCAGAACTACAGGAAAGTCGACTGACTGGAAATTCTACAACTAGAAGGAAAGAGAAAATCAGAAGGAAAAGCAGAGGAGCTGTAAAAGCCTAAGGTACGGAGATACGTTGTGCGCGCGCGCGCGGAGAGGACGGAGCCAGAGAGGAGGGGGAGGCTGAGTGCCTGGCTGGCGTTCCTTAGCGGAAAGGAGATAAAAGTTCCAGACTGTGCTGAACCCCAGATCCGACAGCACTGAACCCCAGTTCTAGGCCAGAGGGAGCCTGGGCTGTAAGGCGGAATCTCAGGGGAGCGGCGAAAGGCAGTCCGGAGGTGCGCACATTACGCACAGAGAACGGACAGTTGACTGTGCTGCTGGATTGCCCTAGCGGGAAGGAGACAAAAGCTCCGGACTGCTCTGAACCCCACTTCCAACTGAACTGAACCCCAGTTCCAGGCTCATTGGGGGAGAGCCTTGACTGTTTGGTAGTGGGCGAAACTCAAGGGCCCTTTCTCTCAGAGGTGCCTCCACCCTGAAACTCCGCCCCATCCAAGCTGAACACAGACTTTTAAGGCTACCAACTCAGGGAAGCTGGAAAATGCCGAGACAAAGGAAGAGATCACAAACGAAAGAAATGGAGGACAAAAAGCAACTGGATATAGAGTTCAAAACCACACTTCTAAGGTTTTTCAAGAATTTCCTAGAAAAGGCCGATAAATGAGACCTATGAGGATATGAAAAGGAATCAACTAGAAATAAAGAATACATTGTCTGAAATAAAAAATATTATAGAGTCCTAAAAACAGAATGGAAAATCGCAAGAATCAAGTCAAAGACTTGGAACAAAGAGCCAGAGGACACTCCTCCGCAGAAGCAAGAAGACAAGAGAATCCAGAAAGTTGAAGATAGTGTAAGAAACCTCTGGGACAACTTCAAGCGAACCAACATCAGAATTATGGGGGTCCCAGAAGATGAGAGCAAGATACCAAAAACATATTGAAAGAAATAGTGACAGAAAACTTCCCCCACTTGGTGAAAGAATTAGACTTACAAGTCCAGGAAGCGCAGAGAACCCCAAATAAAAGGAACCCAAAAAGGACCACACCAAGACACATCATAACTAAGAGCAAAAGACAAAGAGAATATTAAAAGCAGCAAGAGAAAAGCAGGTAGTTACCTATAAAGGAGCAACCATACGATTGTCAGCTGATTTCTCAACAGAAACCATGCAGGCCAGACGGGAATGGCAAGAAATATTCAAGGTGATGAATAGCAAGAACCTACAGCCAAAAATAATCTACCCAGCAAAGCTATCACTCAGAATTGAAGGCCAGATAAAGAGCTTCACTAATAAAAAAAAAAAAAGACTAAAAGAGTTCATCACCACCAAACCAGAATTATATGAATTGCTGAAGGGGGTTCTTTCGGAAAAGAAAGAAAATAAAGATAAAAAGTATGAACAACAAATACATAACTGTCAACAAGTGAATCTAAAAACCAAGGGAATTTTTTAAAAAATCTGATGAACAATATTAACTGATGAATATAATAGAACCAGAGGTATGGAACGGGAGGGGGAGGTGCAGGAAGAGATTGAATATAAACTGTACACCTATGGATGAGGACAATGGGGGGTGGGGAAAGGGCAGAGAGTAGGGTGGGAACCTGGTGGAGGGGAGCAATGGAGGGAGGGGGGAAAATGCAAATTCCAGATTAAACTGCCTAGCATGAACTAGGTATCTAAGAATGTTTTTTATGCTTCAAATTTAATTCTCCCCTCAAATGTAGACTGCACAGATATGTTGATATGTCACTGAAGTAGAAAATATGGGATGCAGTTTTTTCCCCCAAGCATGTTCAAATTCTCCAATGCAGACCTTAGAGCCTGGTGAACACCATCCATAAGTGCATAGGAAAAGAGGAACTTGCTAGGATGTTAGCAATGTGTTTTTTTATATTTTTTAATTGATTTCAGAGAGGGCGAGAGAGAAACATCAATGATGAGAGAATCACCAACTGGCTGCCTCCCGAACACCCACACTGCAAAATAAGCCTGCAGCCCGGGCATGTGCCCTGACTGGGGAATTGATTTTTGACCGTCTGGTTCATAGGTCAACACTCAACCACTGAGCTACGCCAGCTTTTTGTGTTTTTTTAATCACAGTTTACTAATATATTCAATATTATTTTGTACTAGAGGTCTGGTACACGAAATTCATGCATGGGGGGGTGTCCCTCAGCCCAGCCTGCACCCTCTTCAATCTGGGGCCCCTCGAGGGATATCCAGGTAGGATCAGGCCTCAACAGGCAGTCAGACATCCCTCTCTCAATCCAGGACTGCTGGCTCCCAACTGCTCACCTGCCTGCCTTCCTGATTGCCCTTAACCGCTTCTGCCTGCCAGCCTGATCACCCCCTAACCACCCTCCCCTGCAGGCCTGGTCCCCCCCAACTGCTCTCCCTGCAGGCCTGGGTCCCACCAACTGCCCTTCCCTGCAGGCCAGGTCGCCCCCAACATCCCTCCTCTGCCAGCCTGGTCACCCCTAACTGCCCTCCCCTGCAGGCTTGATCACCCCCAACTGCCCTCCCTTGTAGGCTTGGTCCCTCCCAACTGCCCTCCTCTGCTGGCCATCTTGTATCTACATGGGAGCAGCCATCTTGTGTGTTACAGTGATGGTCAGTTTGTCTATTACTCTTTTATTAGGATTAGTTTCAAGTGTACAGAACAGTGGTCAGACAATCATACACTTCACAAAGTACTCACCCAGCACAAATGTATTTTTTAATGAATGTACATTTTTAAAGAATTTGAAACTAGAAAAATTTCATATTCACTTTATTGACTACTGAAGTTCAGTCTCCGATGCTTCTTCCAGCCTTGTGATACTGTCTTTCTGAGGCTTTTCTACGGTAGACATCATCTGTATTGAACAAAAATTCTACTTAGGTTTTTAAGAAACTGAGGAATTAAAAATACTATGATCTAAGTAATTTAACCAGTCTTATAGGTTGGGCACTATATCTGAATCTCAACATTAATGTTTTTTGGGGTTATTTTGTAAATTCTCACCTAAGATATTTTTCCATTTATTTTTAGAGAGAGTGGAAGGGACAGGGAGAGATAGAGACACACAATGATTGGTTGCCTCCCAGGACCAGGTTGGAGCCTGCAACCGAGTTATTTGCCCTTGACTGGAATCGAACCAGGGATCCTTCTATCCACTGAGCCAGATCAGCTAGGGCTCAACATGGATTCAATGCCAAAGTAATTTAAAACACGAGTTAAATGAGGCTATGTCAATGAAGTTCTAGATTTCAATAGCAGGGTAAGAGTTGGTATCTTCACTCTGGCTGGTGTGCTCAGGGGTTAGAGTGTTGGCCTGCATATTGGAGGGTCTGGGGTTTGATTCCCGTCAAGGGCACGTACTCTGGATGCAGGTTCAATCCCTGGCCCTGGTCCCTGTGCTTGCAGAAGGCAACCAACCAATGTGTCTCTGTCATAGCGATATTTCTCTCTTCCTCCCCACTCTTTTCCACTCTCTAAAAATCAATGAGAAAAATATCCTGATGAGAATTTTAAAAAGTATTATCAAAGACAGGATCATGTCCTAGCATACCTCTTAGCAATGATCTAAGATTTTAAGGCTTCCCTCACTTCCGTATCCCCCACAATTTCTCATCTCTCTGAAATCATCCTTCTTAACTAAAACGTGGCCCCTCAAAGGCACTTCCCGAGCTGTGGCTCCCTGCTGCTCCCTCTCCCACACCCGGGAAGTTGGGGTGGGGAGTTGAGGTCAGTTTCCATTCGCCACCCTCTTCCTTCAGGGCTTGTGCCATTTACCACTATCTTCTCTATACTAGTACCTGTTCTCCATCACCTGCTTTTCAGTCACTGAAAACAGCATCTAGCTCCGGCTCCTTGACCCTATCCTGTCCCAGGCAACACCCCTGTCCCCTTAGGGATAAAACACTAGCCTCCCTCACTTCCCTGCCTTCCCCACACAACTTCTGCCACCCACTGGCGCTGCTCCCGTGAAGTCAGGAGACGAACTACCCTGTGCGGAGCTATAATGCTCAGCAAAGCAGCGCCCGGCAGTCCGTTCCCAGTGCTGGGCCCTGGTGCCAATGACCTGCCTGTAAAAACTGGTAATTAGCTAAGCGGGCAGACCAGCTCCCTCCAGGATTTGGACTACAGAACCCAGAGAGGACCGGCCACCTGTCCCCGCGGCCACACAATGTCCCCAGCGGGCTGGAGAGGGGGCGTCCCGTGCACTCCCTTCACGGTGAGAGCAAGGTCTCCGGGTTGGACGCCAAGTGCCTTTGCTGCCCCGCTTACAGGAGACCCCGTGAGCCCGGGTGGGTCTCCAGGGCCCAGAGGATGGAATCGCACTTGCCCTCCCGACGCAGAAAGAAACAGTTCAGCGCCGAGTTAAGGAGCGGTCTGCAACCTGGGCATGGCGATCTCCCAGGAGAAAAGGCCCGGGCCGCCACCTGCCTTCCTGAAACGAAACGGAGGCTGCCGCACCCCCACTTACAGAAGGTCTCCTGGCCCACGCGCACTTTAATCATGATCCACTCCATGGTTCCTCCCAGGACAAAAAAGAAGGGCAGAAACCTGTAGACGCCGAGTCGCTCCTTTCCGGGCACCCACTGCAGAGCCCGCCTCACCTGGGCCCTGGAAAACATGCCCAGCGAGGACCGAACGGGAGCTGCCTTAGCTCCTGGACCGAAGCGCCCGGGTGGCGGCGAGGTCGTCCTGCCTGCCCTTGCGGAGCCCAGCGGTCGAGCTCACCGCGCCATCGCGGCCGGGCCCCTGCTCCAGGCGGGCAGGTCCTCAGGAGCCCAGCGCGGAGCTCCGGACCCACCAATCAGAGCACGGCAAGGCGCGGGGATTCGCCAATAGAATGCGGCCGAGCGCGCGTGCTCCGTGTGGCTGAGCCCGGCCGGGGAGCTCGCGCAGGCGTCTCGGCTCCGGGGGCGGGGCGGTGCCAGGGGGCGGCACCTCCCACGTGGCGGCGGGGACCCGGGCCTCCGGGTGAAGCTAGTGCTGGGAGTCGGCGCCATCCCCCCCACCCCAACCCCTCCCCGCTGCCACCGCCATCTTTTTTCTTTAAGTCCTGATGGAAGTGATGGACTAAACGTGAGCTGCACCATAATATGATTGCAATCACGCAGCGCCTTGCATTTATTTCGGAGTCAGTGAACGGTGACCGGACTTCTAAAAATAACAGAATTTAATATGCCTTGTTGAAAGCTGAACTTTGTTATCACAACAAAAGTCTAGGTAAGCATTTTGAGACAAACAATCCTAAAATTAACGAAAATTTTCCTGTATGGGGCACTTGTACGTGCTTTTTATGCATCATCTCACGATCACAAAAGAACTTAACGGTTCAACATGGATGGGCTTTGTTATAACTACTTCTTCCCCCCACTTTCCCCCCCACCCTCCACATAGTCCCTTAGTCTGTGCCTCAATTCGCTACACAAAACGGGGATCTTCCTCTGATGCTGTTAGGACTTAGAGATAATACAAAGAAAGAAAGCACTTAGCACAGTGCCTGAAGTATAATAACTGATCAATTAGATTAGCTGCAATATGATGATTTATCGAACCCTAGCTCTTTATATGTATCCCGAAGCCTACTGGACCTCGCCTCCATGTTCATCAACACCTCTTCCAGATGGAGAACTGAGAGGTGGAGGGTAAGCCAGGCAGCAGCAGAGATCTGACTCAAAAGTCTTCACTCTTGCTGAGCTGTGTTTGCTGAGGGCTTGAATGAAGTTGTCACCTCATTATCTCTGAGAAGAGAGACAACTATTAGATAATCAAGGAAAATGAAATGAAAACTAAGACCCAGGAAGAGAGTTTGGTGATATAGGCACGAACCCTACAAAAACAGGCTGGAAAAGAGAGAATGAAAGCAGGGCCCCTGGAAAGGGTCCGAGTCTGTGGCTGAGCAGCCAGGCCCGAGAGGCTGCCTGGATAACCTGCCTTCTGGGGCCACAGCACGGCCCACTGCCCCCCTCAGTGCTCCCTCAGTGCTCCCCCGTGTCTCCGGGTGACTCTGGGGCCCATCTCCAGCCCAGATGGAGCTCAGGTGCGGCCAGCTCCCCAGGGTCCGCCATCTCACCGAATCCCTCCGCCGGACGCAGCTCTGGGCCTCCAGCCCGCACCGCACCCGGGCAAGGGGCTGACACATTGTAGGTCTGCAGCCAGGGCACCGTGGATACTCACATGTATCACATCGTTTGGGAAACAAAGTGTCCAGGTGGCCAGCTCCCCGCTAACAGCCCATCCAGGATATCAACGGATACACGTGCGGACTTAGAAAACGGGTCTGACTGGCAGAAACACGGTGGAGAGAGTGGTTCCAAGCAGAAAAGGCGAATTTCATAGGAAAGTCTGGCGATGTGGCTAGAAGAGACCAAGGCATCTCAGGAGGGGGCCAGCGCGGGGAGCCAGGAGGGGGCTGTGGGCGCAGCGGTCAGCTGAGGTCGGAGCTGTAGGCGCAGGCGCTCAGGGGCCGTGCGAGCGGAGGCCCAGGCTGCTCCGAGGTAAGGAGTTAAAGGGGGGTCACCTGGTGGGGTACGGGGCGGGGGGGGGGGGGGGAGCTGCGCTGCGGGCCTCCCCGCGCGTGGGGGCTTCGAAAGAGCATTTTGGCATGTAATCATCTTACTTTACAGATCGCAACGAACGAAATAAACCAGAGCATCGTTCTTCAAGGTATGAACTTAAAATATTTAATAATTCTGCATAAAGCTTCAGGTTTGAAAAATATTGTTTGGAAACAATGCATATATCCCTTTTAAAGTTACTATATATTTGAATTTTCTATGGCATTAAAGATGCTGGCACCGGGAGCGGGCGCGGGCAGGGCTCTTCACTCGCTAACGGGGCGCAGGGACCCCGGTCGGCGGGCAGAGTGGTCCGAGGCCGGAGGCGGGAAAGGGCCCTGCCGCGGGGCTGGGGGAGGGGCGGAGGCGCTAAGGTCAGCAAGACCCGAGGGGAGGAGGAGGGGGCGGGAAGACCCGGGCCTGGAGGGGGCAGAAAGGACGGGGGCCGTCCGGAGCCCCCAGGAACGGCTGTGCTTAGCTCCCCCCCCCCCCCGCGACCTCCCGGAGGCGGACAGAGGGAGCCGCCGCGGCGACCTAAGGGGGGCGCCGAGCTCTCAGCGGCGCGGGAGACGGGGGAGGGGAAGGGGGCTGGGAGCCCGGCCCGCCCCGTCCCGGGCCTCCCGCCCCCCCGAGCCGAGGGGCGCGCCCATTGGCCGGCCTGGCTCCGCGCGCCGCGCCCATTGGCCGGTGCGGGTGAGGGGCACGCGGCCACCGTGGCGGGCGCGCAGTCGGGGGCGGCGGACCAGCCGACGGGCAGCGGGCTCCGCGGGCGGGCGCGCGGCGGGCATGGCGGGCGTGGGGCTGCGGGCGGCTGCTCGGCGCTGGCTGCCGTGCCCGGGCCACGGCTGGCCGCGGGCCACCTCGTCCTCGCCCTCCTGCTCCGGCTGCGGCCCCCCGGGCCCCAGCGCCCACTGCCCCGGCGCCCCGCGCCCGGCGCCCGCCCCGGCCCCCGCCGGCGGCTCGGAGCTGAGCGCGCACTTGTGGACCCGCTACCAGGACATGCGGAGGCTGGTGCACGGTGGGTGAGCCGGGGGCCGCCGGCGGGGGTCCGGAGGCTGCGGGCGCGCGGGGGCACCGCCCCCAGCCGTCGGGGAGCCGCTCTTGCGGGGAGCGTTGCAGAGGGGCTCGCTGGAACCCTGAGGCCGGGGGATCGTCCGGGAGAGGCTCCGCGGGGTCGTCCCGGGAGCCGCCGGGGCGCCCCGACGCCCGAAGCGGACGAGCCGGACGTTTGTTCGCCGGCTCCGTCCGCAGGAGCGCGGGGCTCCTGGAGCGCCCGCGGGTTGCGGGGCCCCGGCTCCCGGCCCTCGGGGTCCCGCCCGCCCGGAGGCCGCCGCGGAAGCGCCCCCGGCCCCTTGTTCTCCGAGGGGCCGCGGCTGGGCGGGAGCAGCGGGGACAAAGGCGGCCGCGGCGCTGCCGGAACTGGCGCCTGGGGGCCGGCCGACCCCGGGTCCGACCCTTAGACTTCCAGGGCCCCCCGAGATTCCGCCCTGGGGGTCTGGGAGGAGGGATGAGACCAGATGGCTCCAGTCCAGAAGGATGGCTGCGTCCTTGGCCGGAGTGCTCACTAGGTCTCCCGTGGCCTCCCCTCTCCCCGCGGCCTCCCCTCTCCCTGTGCCTCCCCTCTCCCCGTGGCCTCCCCTCTCCCCGTGGCCCCCCCTCTCCCCGCGGCCTCCCTTCTCCCCGTGGCCCCCCCTTTCCCCGTGGCCCCCCCTCTCCCTTTGGCCTCCTCTCTCCCCGTGGCCCCCCCTCTCCCCGTGGCCTCCCCTCTCCCTGTGCCTCCCCTCTCCCCGTGGCCCCCCCTCTCCCCGCGGCCTCCCCTCTCCCCGTGGCCTCCCTTCTCCTTGTGCCTCCCCTCTCCCCATAGCCCCCCCTCTCCCCGTGGCCTCCCCTCTCCCCGTGGCCTCCCCTCTCCCCGTGGCCTCCCCTCTCCCCGTGGCCTCCCCTCTCCCCGTGGCCTCCTCTCCTGCAAAATGGGCTGAGGAGCCTGACGCCGCCTCGGAGGGGGCCAGGCTGGGGCGGCCGCGGGAGGCCGGAGAGGTGAGAGCTGGTGTGGGTTCAGGGGTCCCCCCGGGCCTGGCCTCTGCAGCAGTCAGATGTGGTTGGGTCTTGGCCCTATCGCTGTCCAGCTGGGTGGTGCCCGGTAAGCCTCATCCTCCCAGACCCCCAGGGCGTTAGGTCAGCAATTTCAACCAGGGCGCCGCAAGAATCTTTAAAACATGCAATACCTCAGTATGTAGTCAGGGGCACTGACCTCTTTTCCCTGAGATTGTCAAATTAAACAATACCCACAGCCCTCCACGGTGAATTAGTCAAAATTATGCCTTTTGTTTTTCGGTCAGATCGACAAAAAAACCCCGCATTTTTTGGTGTGCTGCAGAACTTTAGTAATCCGTTTGTGTGCCATGAGCTGAAAAGGGGTGAAAGTCGCTGTCCTGGTGCTTCTGTCAGGCGCAGGGTTGTGGTGACTCAGAAAGGCCCGGCCAAGCAGGGCAGGGGGGCCTCCGGGGGTGGCAGGGCTTCTGAGTCTGATAAGACAAGGGCCCCATCTGGAATATTCCAGCCAATGGACTGAGTGGGGGCTGCCCCGGAAACCTGGGAGGAGGGGTGGACTGGACTCACCTCTCCAGAACCTGGAGGCAGAGCGGTCACCACCGACCTCTGAGGAATGATGGGCCTCTCTGGGCATGCACACCCCGCCTGCAGGCAGGGGCAGGCCAGGGATGTCATTTAAGGTTGAGACCTATTGGAAGAGCAGCTTGAAAAACCTACCTGCAGGTGTGGGGGGCGGGGTCTAGGGAGGGGCATTGGCTTTGTCTCTCGGGGCTCCCATGGATCTTGAGATCTTCATGGAGACCCCCAAGCTGTCCCTGATGTGAAAGGGGCAAGGTCATTTGCGAATGCCAGGCTGAGTGCCAGGGTGAACCAGCCTTCCTGGCCCCTTCCAACTCCAGCCAGCCCAGCTCCCCTCTGCCTGGGCTTTCTCGGTCTTGGGCTAATGTCTTTGGGCAAACTGTTGCCCAGTGCCAGGCCCCAGGCCAGCCCTGCCCCCTCCCACATCGGAGGGAGGCCAGGCTAGGTGCCCAGTGAGTAAGGCAAGTGGAATGGCTGGATGCAAGTCTCTGCTCCGCCGTCTGCTGCGGGGAGTTTGGAGCATGACTTGGCCTCCCCGGTTCCTTCCTCTGGATGGCAGAGGAGTAAGGGTGACCCCCTCACCGGGAGGGAGGGAGGACTGAGCAAGTGGGGCTTCTGAGGCACCGGCGAGTGCACCCAGCGGCGGCGGGGAGGGTGGCCCCACAAGGTCATTGAGGAGCGGGGAGGGTTTGGCCTCGGAACTTGGGCAGGCTCTGGAGCTGGGGGCTGAGAGGAAAGGGAAGGGTGGGGGCCGGGCAGCGAGACCAATGAACTTGGAAGCCCGTGTGGGTGAGGGGCACAGCGGGTTCACTGGCCCTGCCCTCGGCCGCCCTGTGGAAGGGAGTGGGACCCTGTGGCCCCAGAGCTACGGTTTCGGAGGTCGGTTTCTGTCAGTCCGGAGGTCGGGTCAGGAAGCCGGGCCCTGGGGCTGCTTCCCCATCCTGCCTCGCTCCTAGGAGAATTGTCCATCGCTGGGAACAAGGGGAGAGGCTAAAGCCTGGGCTTGGCCCAGCTCTGCCCACAGGGACTGTTCTGTCGAGCAGACCCCCCCCTCCTGCGGAACTACTGGGCAGCGTTGGGGCCCAGGAACTCAGGGCCCCGGCGAGGGGAAGGCCCAGGGTGCTGTTGACACCAGATGAGGGGCCTCTCAGCGGCAGCTCCCTAGGAGGCTAGAGGCAGCTGTCGCTCACGTTCCTCCAAGCAAGGACTGTTTTGTCTGCACCTAGAAATTATCTTCCAAACAGCTGCCGTGCCAGGCCTGCACTGGCCTGGGTCCACCAGAGGAACCAGCCACACCTGTTCCCCAAAGGAGAGGGGCTGGGGCGGGGCCGGTGTTCAGGAGGAGCCTCCAGCCTGGGAGCTCATCAGCAAGTCTCTGCCTCTGAGCACAGGCAGCTGCAAGGCCCAGGGCTTCTGCTTTGGGAACATGACTGCCTGTGGCTGAAGCGGAATTCCTAGAGGCAGGGTGTTTGCTTGGACTTCAGCCACAGGCTGGAGGTCCTGAAAGGAGCCCCTGCAAGGTCCTGTGCACCTTGTCCTGCCTGCTCACTCCCCCCTGCAGCCCCTGCTCCCTGCCCCCTGCAGCCCCTGCTCCCTCCCTCTGTTCCCTCCCCCTGCTCCCTCCCTCTGTTCCCTCCCCCTGCAGCCCCTGCTCCCTGCCCCCTGCAGCCCCTGCTCCCTCCCCCTGCTCCCTCCCCCTGCTCCCTCCCCCTGCAGCCCCTGCTCCCTCCCCCCTGCAGCCCCTGCTCCCTCCCCCCTGCAGCCCCTGCTCCCTCCCCTTGCTCCCCCCCTCTGTTCCCTCCCCCTGCAGCCCCTACTCACTGCCCCCTGCAGCCCCTGCTCCCTCCCCCTGCTCCCTCCCCCTGCAGCCCCTGCTCCCTCCCCCCTGCAGCCCCTGCTCCCTCCCTCTGTTCCCTCCCCCTGCTCCCTCCCTCTGTTCCCTCCCCCTGCAGCCCCTGCTCCCTGCCCCCTGCAGCCCCTGCTCCCTGCCCCCTGCAGCCCCTGCTCCCTCCCCCCTGCAGCCCCTGCTCCCTGCCCCCTGCAGCCCCTGCTCCCTCCCCCCTGCAGCCCCTGCTCCCTGCCCCCTGCAGCCCCTGCTCCCTCCCCCCTGCAGCCCCTGCCCCCTGCAGCCCCTGCTCCCTCCCCCCGCAGCCTCTGTTCCCTGCCCCCTGCAGCCCCTGCTCCCTGCCCCCTGCAGCCCCTGTTCCCTTCCCCCTGCAGCCCCTGCTCCCTGCCCCCTGCAGCCCCTGCTCCCTCCCCCCGCAGCCCCTGTTCCCTCCCCCCTGCAGCCCCTGCTCCCTGCCCCCTGCAGCCCCTGCTCCCTCCCCCCTGCAGCCCCTGCCCCCTGCAGCCCCTGCTCCCTCCCCTCTGCAGCCCCTGCTCCCTGCCCCCTGCAGCCCCTGCTCCCTCCCCCCGCAGCCCCTGCTCCCTTCCCCCTGCAGCCCCTGCTCCCTTCCCCCTGCAGCCCCTGCTCCCTCCCCCCGCAGCCTCTGTTCCCTCCCCCCCGCAGCCCCTGCTCCCTGCCCCCTGCAGCCCCTGCTCCCTCCCCCCTGCAGCCCCTGCTCCCTGCCCCCTGCAGCCCCTGTTCCCTCCCCCTGCAGCCCCTGCTCCCTTCCCCCTGCAGCCCCTGCTCCCTCCCCCCTGCAGCCCCTGCTCCCTCCCCCTGCAGCCCCTGCTCCCTGCCCCCTGCAGCCCCTGCTCCCTGCCCCCTGCAGCCCCTGCTCCCTCCCCCCTGCAGCCCCTGCTCCCTGCCCCCTGCAGCCCCTGCTCCCTGCCCCCTGCAGCCCCTGCTCCCTGCCCCCTGCAGCCCCTGCTCCCTGCCCCCTGCAGCCCCTGCTCCCTCCCCCCCGCAGCCCCTGCTCCCTGCCCCCTGCAGCCCCTGTTCCCTTCCCCCTGCAGCCCCTGCTCCCTGCCCCCTGCAGCCCCTGTTCCCTCCCCCTGCAGCCCCTGCTCCCTTCCCCCTGCAGCCCCTGCTCCCTCCCCCCTGCAGCCCCTGCTCCCTGCCCCTGCAGCCCCTGCTCCCTCCCCCCGCAGCCCCTGCTCCCTGCCCCCTGCAGCCCCTGCTCCCTCCCCCTGAAGCCCCTGCTCCCTGCCCCCTGCAGCCCCTGCTCCCTCCCCCTGAAGCCCCTGCTCCCTCCCCCTGAAGCCCCTGCTCCCTGAGTGCCATAGGGACATCAGGACGAGGAGGCGCATTGAGCGTTTAGTCCTGCTTTGCCACAGGTGCAGAGTGGCAGTGCTGCACAGAGCATTCCATGTGACCCTCGTAGTTCTGTAGGTTGGAACAATTTTTTTAGTATCTCTATTGGTACAACTTTTATTTCCCCTTTCGGAGACAAGCAAACTGAGGCCCAAAAGTGAGGTGACTTTCCTGAAATCACAGCCATGAGGAGGAGGGCTTGGTCTGATCTGATTTCAAAACCCATGCCTTTCCCCACCCGCCTCCCTGACTGTACAGAAAAGTACACTAAGGCACAGGAGCCTGGGACCCTGAGCTCACTCTGCACAGCGCCCCATTCAGCCCGTCTGGAGCAGCCAGGGGCCTGGAGCAGTTATGGCTGCGTCCTCCGAGGGAGCAGCCTGGGTAACGGCCCAGGTCCCGACATCACACGTCCTGCCTGTCGTAATTAGCAATGTTCCCTGGCTAGAGGCAGCAAATGTCATTATGTGGGCTGGCAGGCCACCGAAATCCTATTAGCGGGGCCTTGATTCAAAGGTTGGCAGGTGCTCAGAGCTGGGGACACGAGTGGCAGGCGGGCTACCCTGTACCTCCCACTCCAATAATGTTCCCAAGCCCCGAGCCCAGCTTCGGGCAAGGTGGAGGAGTTGGCACGTAGCCACGTCCGGTGGGGCTTCTGGGAGCCTGGAGGAGGCACAGGCGGGGTGCACGTGGTGGGCAGCAGGTGATGGTGTAACCCAGGGCCGCACGGTAGTCCAGCCATTGCCAGCCCTGCCGGACCCCAGCACGTGAGCCTGGGCAGGGACCTCTCTGAGCCCCTGCGTTTGACCACCTGCAGCCCTGGGCTGAGCGCATCCATCCTGGTGTCTTGGGAGACGCCCAGGGCTGGGCACCTGGAAAGTGCTCAGTGGCCATTTGCCGCTTGCATGGTCGTCGTCCTCACACTGGCACCTCCTTCCTCTAGACCTCCTGCCCCCCGAGGTCTGCAGCCTCCTCAACCCAGCGGCCATCTACGCCAACAACGAGATCAGCCTGCACGATGTCGAGGTCTACGGCTTCGACTATGACTACACGCTGGCCCAGTACGCAGACGCCCTGCACCCGGAGATCTTCGGTGCCGCCCGGGACATCCTGATCGAGCACTACAAGGTGAGGCTGGCCAGCCAGGGCCCCGGGCCCCGGAGAGCAGGGGGCTGCATCGATCCTCCGGGGTGGCCGTGCCCCCGGCTCAGGCCTGGCCCACTTTCCCCCTACAGTACCCAGAGGGCATCCGGAAGTATGACTACAACCCCAGCTTTGCTATCCGTGGCCTCCACTACGACATTCAGAAGGTGAGTGGCTGGACCCCTGACCCCCGGCCCCGCCTTCCTGGCTGTGTGTCAGCCGCTTTCTTGGTTCCCCTTCCCGTGTGCAGGGAGCTCATCTGCCACCCCGTGGCCTCACTCACAGCGTTCGCTTCTTGGTCCCTTTGATGCCATCCAATTGGGGCTTCGGCGTAGGGGGTGGGAAAGGCCGGCCCGTGGCCGGTGGCCAACCCCTTCCTCACCCCCGTCCCCTTCCCCGCCGCCCCAGAGCCTTCTGATGAAGATCGACGCCTACCATTATGTGCAGCTGGGGACGGCCTACAGGTCAGTGCTGCCTCCGCCCTGACCCGCCCTACACTCTGCCCGGGCTCAGGACCACTTGGGACTGATGTCTCTGTGCCGCCCTCCCCTCCCTCCCCTCCCCCCAGGGGCCTGCAGCCTGTGTCCGATGAGGAGGTGATCGACCTGTACGGGGGCACCCAGCACATCCCACTGTACCAGATGAGCGACTTCTACGGCAAGGTGCCCGCTCCGCTGCTGTGATCCCCACGTGGGCGCTGGCTCCCTAGGAGGCCGTGCCCACACCCCCGGCCGCCAGGCTGCACCCCTCTGCCGGCGTCCCTTGGTCTTCAGAGCTGGGGCTGGTGGGGCTGGAGCGGTGGCTGAAGCAGTGTCCCCCTCCCCCCACCCCTCAGGGTCCCTCCATCAAGCAGTTCATGGACATCTTCTCGCTGCCGGAGATGGCGCTGCTCTCCTGTGTGGTGGACCACTTCCTGGGCCACGGCCTGGAGTTCGACCAGGCGCACCTCTACAAGGACGTGACGGTGAGGGAGCCGGGGCGGCGGGCGGGTGGAGTGCAGACACACCAGGGCAGGCCCTCCTGGTCACCACTGCCCCTCTGTCCCTCCGCTGCCCCCAGGATGCCATCCGAGATGTGCACGTGAAGGGCCTCATGTACCAGTGGATCGAGCGGGACATGGGTAAGGTGGACGGTGGTTGGGGTGGCCTGCCTGGGCCGGTGCGGGGCCGGCTCTCACAGACGCATCTCCTCCCCCAACCCCCCCCCCCCAGAGAAGTACATCCTGAAGGGGGATGAGACGTACGCCGTCCTGAGCCGCCTGGTGGACCATGGGAAGCAGCTGTTCCTCATCACCAACAGCCCCTTCAGCTTCGTGTGAGTCCGGCCCCACCGTGGGGGGGTGGGGGTGGGAGGGTCCGGGTGGGAGCGGCCTGGCCCCAGCCTCCCTCGGACCTCATGTCCCACCGGCGCCCTCTCCTCCCAGGGACAAGGGCATGCGGCACATGGTGGGTCCCGACTGGCGCCAGCTGTTTGACGTGGTCATCGTCCAGGCGGACAAGCCCAGCTTCTTCACCGACCCGCGCAAGTACGGGCGGCAGGGGCGGCGGGCCCGGGGCGGGGACTAGCTCTCGCTCACTGCCGTGTGCCCGGGGCAGGGACTAGCTCCCGCTCACTGCCGTGTGCTCGGGGCGAGGGGCCCCCCTGCTCACTGACTGTGTGCCCGGGGCGGGGACTAGCTCCCGCTCACTGCCGTGTGCCCGGGGCGAGGGGCCCTCCCGCTCACTGCCGTGTGCTCGGGGCGAGGGGCCCCCCTGCTCACTGCCGTGTGCTCGGGGCGAGGGGCCCCCCTGCTCACTGCCGTGTGCTCGGGGCGAGGGGCCCCCCTGCTCACTGCCGTGTGCTCGGGGCGAGGGGCCCCCCTGCTCACTGCCGTGTGCTCGGGGCGAGGGGCCCCCCTGCTCACTGCCGTGTGCTCGGGGCGAGGGGCCCCCCTGCTCACTGCCGTGTGCTCGGGGCGAGGGGCCCCCCTGCTCACTGCCGTGTGCTCGGGGCGAGGGGCCCCCCTGCTCACTGCCGTGTGCTCGGGGCGAGGGGCCCCCCTGCTCACTGCCGTGTGCTCGGGGCGAGGGGCCCTCTCGCTCACTGCCGTGTGCTTGGGGCGAGGGGCCCCCCTGCTCACTGCCGTGTGCTCTGGGTGAGGGTGCCCTCCCGCTCACTGCCGTGTGCTCGGGGCAAGGGTGCCTCTTGCTGGCACGTGAGCAGGTGGGCCTTTGCTGAGTGGGAGGGTACCCAGTTCATGGTCTTGCCACAGACTAAGCCACGGCCTTTACCCCCGACCCTAGGCCTTTCCGGAAACTTGATGAGAAGGGTTCGCTCCAGTGGGACCGCATCTCCAGCCTGGAAAAGGGCAAGATCTATCGGCAGGTGAGGGCCGTCTGGTTGGGAGGAGCACCTGGTGAGGGGAAGGCATACAAGGCTAACCGGGGGACAGGGGCTCTCCGGGCACAGGCCTAGGCAGGGTCGAGCTTGGCCTGTGGGCAGGTTGCCTGCGTTTGGAAGCTAACTCCACTCCTGGTTGGAGGGCGCCTTGCCCCCCTCGTCTGTAAAAGAAGCATCGCACTCAGGATGCTAGGCCTTGGACTGGCCAGGCACTCGCTAAGTCTCCAGCAAATGGCACTGCTATTACCCAGGGCTGCGGGCTCTGCTGCAGCCAGACGTGCCTGGGTGGAGCCTGGAGCCTTCCTGAGCCTCCAGGACAGCTGTCGCCAACCTGCCTACCTGCTCTGGGAGCCCTGCCCTCCCCTCCCCGCTGCCTGGGAAGGGGAGAAGGCACCCGGGAGGGGGTTGCAGGGCGGCTCTGAGCTGGAGCTGATTAGGCATTTGGCCCGGGATGGAATGCGAAGAGCTGGTGAGCCGGGCTTCTTGGGGGTTGGAGCTCTGGAAGCTGGGGGAGGGGAAGCCTCACATTACCCAGTGTGGAGGCCTGGCCTGCGGGCAGTGCTCCCGCCCCGCTCGCTGCTCTGCCGCCCACCCTGCTGGCCCCCCGGGCAGACTTTCCCTTGCTCTGAGGGTCACACAACTGGGTGGGGAGCATGTGACTGTTCCTTAGGCCTGATGTTCAGAAGTGTGTGTCGAATCCTGCTTGGTTCTTTTCTTTCTGTGCTCTCCCCCCTTCTCCCTCCTCTCCTGCCTCCCTTTCCTGTTACCCAGGCTCCTTCCTGACTCAGCATCTGCACCTCCAGATTCTCTCTCTCGGTTCATTCAGGGCACGTCCCCTCTGTCCATCACACCTCCCTCTCCTGCAGGTCCCTGAACCTCAACCTCTCCACTGAGCTCCTGTCAACAGTGAAGTCTTTCGCAACCACCTGTGCTTTCAGCTCCCTGGGCCTCCTGCTTTTTGCTGAGTAACAGTTCTCACTTGGGCTGGGGGCTCTTGCCTTGTGGCTGCTTCACTTCCTGCTCTGGGGCCCTGGCTTCTCCCCCGGGAGAAGCTTCCTCTGTTGTGTTGGAGCCTGGCTGAGTGTTTTCATCTTTCCTCTGTTTCGGAGCAGATGGCCTCAGTGAGGTCTGCTGGGTCCCGCTGGGCTCAGGCCAGGCAGCCCAGACCTTCAGGGCCGTGGGGTCACGGCTGCAGTTTAGTTCCCACCGAGTGGCCTCGGTCCCTCGCCCGGGGTGGGTGGGAGGCTTTGGGGAGGAGCCTGGAGGCACACGGGCACCGTGCCTGGCCTCCAGGAGCCCTTCCTGCGGCAGCGACCCCCTGCCTGCGAGGCGGAGGTACAAGGGCCAGAGCCCAGAGGGGACGGCAGGCCACGGGAAAGGGCAGCCAGCATCCGGCCGAAAGGCCTCGCTGTCTCTGAGGCTGGGCGCCGGGGGGATGGGGAGAACCAGGCGTGCTTCTGGCAGCGTGGGAACCCCTGGGGTGCACTGGGCTCAGCCGTGTCCCCGTCCCGTCCCCAGGGAAACCTGTTCGACTTCCTGCGTCTGACAGAATGGCGCGGCCCTCGTGTGCTCTACTTCGGAGACCACCTCTACAGTGACCTGGCGGTGAGCGGGGCGGGCCCGGGCCTCTGCGCCAGCGGGGTGCCCCCGGCCGGTGCTGAGCCGTGTCCCCCGCCCCGCCCCCCAGGACCTCATGCTGCGGCACGGCTGGCGCACAGGGGCCATCATCCCCGAGCTGGAGCGCGAGATCCGCATCATCAACACGGAGCAGTACATGCACTCGCTGACGTGGCAGCAGGCGCTCACCGGGCTGCTGGAGCGCATGCAGGTGGGGGGGGGGGCGGCCGGGTTTCCCGGGGGCGGACCGGGGCCGCCGCCCGGGCGCACACCTCCAGCGCTCACTGTCTCCCCCAGACCTACCAGGACGCCGAGTCCCGGCAGGTGCTGGCCTCCTGGGTGAAGGAGCGGCAGGAGCTGAGGTGAGCAGGGTGGGCGAGAGGGAGCCCTCCGGCCCCGTCCGGCGCGGCCTCCTGGAGCACGCCGTCTCCCCCCCCCCCCCCCCCCCTGCAGGTGCGTCACCAAGGCCCTGTTCAACGCTCAGTTCGGGAGCATCTTCCGCACCTTCCACAACCCCACCTACTTCTCCCGGCGCCTCGTGCGCTTCTCCGACCTGTACATGGCCTCGCTCAGCTGCCTGCTCAACTACCGCGTGGACTTCACCTTCTACCCGCGCCGCACACCCCTGCAGCACGAGGCGCCGCTCTGGATGGACCAGCTCTGCACCGGCTGCATGAAGACGCCCTTCCTCAGCGACATGGCCCACATCCGCTGAGGGCGCCTTTATTGTCCAGGCGGGCCCCGCCCAGTCCCGGCGGCTCGGTCCCCGTGGCAATAAAGTGGTCTCTCCCGCTGCGCCTGGGCTGCCTCACTTGACTGCGAGAATCATCCGGGTGTCGGGGACGTCCTCCTCCAGGGGCGAGTCCTGCAGGGAGGACCGAGCGGGGCTGGGCTGGGACCGGGCCCCCCTCCCCGTCCACCCCTCCCCGTCCCGTCCCGGCCCCCACACTCACATCGAAGGGGTCGCACACGGCATCGCTGCTCCCGAAGACCGGGTTGGAGATGGTCCCTTCCTGCCACGGGGAGAAGTCGTCATCCGCGTCGTCTTCTGCCTGAGAAGAGGTGAGTGGTGAGGGGCCTAGAGCAAGAGCCATGACCCCGGCCCCGGCCCCGGCCCTGGCCCCCGGCCCCGGCCCCGCCTCTACCTGGAAGATGGAGAAGCCAAAGCCGGTGGCCTTGCCTCGGGCGCGGAGGTACACGGCCCCAGCCACCAGGCCCAGCAGTGTTCCAGCGGCTACCACAGCCCCCACGCCTGCTGCCACAGGTCGGGCCTCGGGTGCCACCACCGCCCCCTGCACACAAGGGGAACATGAAGGACGTGGCCACGCGGTCTCCGCCCCCGCAGCTCTGTCTGCCCCCGGCCCCCATGGACTCACGGGCTGTGGGGGTGTCAGGAGGGGGCTGGCCAGAGTGTGGATGATGCCGTTGAAGGCCATGATGTCCCACACGATGACGCGGCTGACCACAACTGTCCTTGGGGCCTGGAGGGAGACCAGGGGTCAGGTCCAGTGGGTGAGTGAGGGTCAGGGGGGCGGGGCGACGGCCAGACTTACCACCGGGGCCTGAGAGCTGTTGTCCGAGCCCACACCGCCGATGACAAGCCTGAGGCCCGAGCGGGAGAGGAGCAAGGCGCCCTGGCTGGCGTTGGCGCTCAGGAAGGTAGCATTGGAGGCATGCAGCTCCAGGTCTGGGCCACTCAGTGTCTGTGGGCAAAGCCAAGGCCGCTCAGCCTGCTTGCTGGCCTGAGCCAGCCAGAGGGAGCAGGCCACACCCCCCGCTAGTTACCATGTTGTCCACAAATCCTTCATTGACCGGCACAAAGAGTGTCTTGTAGGTGAGCTCATCGTCCAGGAAATCCAGGAAGGCGACACCTCGCGCAGTGGCGTTAGCGTAGTCCAGCAGCATCTGGGAGGTGGGGAGACGGGGTTTGTGAGCAGGCTCCCTCCCCAGGGGCCCCGGCCACGCTGACCCCCGGGCCCTCTGCACACCCTGTAGAAGGTGGAGAAGTTGGCGGTGGCGGCTAGAACATCAAGCAGCTTCCCGTTGCACATGCTGGTCCCGTCGCCCACAAAGCCGTCGCGGCATCGGCAGGCCACGTCTGTGGGAAAGGGGGTTTCAGCGGGTGGGTGGGTCAGTGGGAGGGGCGGAGCGGGCGAGTGAGGCGTGGGGGGGCGGCGGCACCTTGCATCCGGTAGCAATAGGCATCCCAGCGCTCTGACAGGTTCTTCCTGGTGCCCATGCTGACCACGCCCACCTGGCCGGCACCGCAGTCTGCCTCCGGGAACACGACGGGGTGGGCGGCCGAGCCGTTGGCCAGCCAGCCCACGAGGCAGCGGTGGAAGCCCAGCTGTAGAGGGAGGGGCGGGGGGTGTTGAGACCCGAGGCCCAACTCAAGGGGCTCCCACAGGCTGGGCTCCATGCTCCTGGGCCCCACGCACCTGCTGGGCAGCCGAGAGCTGAGGGAGGGAAGCGAGGACGGCTCCCTGTGCCGCGCACGCTGCCTCGGCCTCAGAGAAGGTCAGACCGTAAGAGCCGCCGGTGGCCTGCAGGTGGAAGACACCAGCCCGCTTCTCTGCAGGGGGGAGGGGTGCGGTCAGCGGGGGCCCTGAGGTAAGACGCAGGCACAGGGAGCAGGCGGGGACGCGCACCCTGGAAGTGCAGGTCCGTGCACACGGCTTCCGCGTGGCATGGGGGGGGCTGGCCCAGGCAGCGGTCCACGGGCGGCTCGGGCTCCTCCAGACACTGCAGTCCGTCGCCCACGTAGCCGGCGTGGCACACGCAGCGCCGGGTGTTCTGGGGCAGGAGAGCAGACAGGAGCCCTTTAGGGCCGGGAACCCGCCGGGACCGCCCACCGGCTGCGGGCTCCCTGCGCTCACCGGGCCGGTGCTCAGGCAGTCGGCGTGCTCGCTGCAGCCCCCTCGGCGGCCGTCCTCGCAGGCGTCGCGGGCCCGGCAGCTCCAGCCATCGCCCTCGTAGTCCGGGAGGCAGGCGCAGGTGACCGCCGTCCCTACCTGGCTGCAGTTGGCGTGCTCGCTGCAGCCGCCACGCCCATCCTGGCACAGGTCCGCCACTGGGGGCGGGGAGAGGGATGGGACTGGGTGACAGGAGGGGGCCGGGCCTCCCGCCTCCTGTCCCCTCCCGCCGGCTCACCTGTGCACGTGCGGCCGTCCCCCTCGTAGCCCAGGCTGCACTCGCAGCTGTTGCCCGAGCGGCACGCCGCCTGGGGTGCACAGGGCGGGACACACACCGGCTGCAGCTCTGTCCCCGGGGCCCACCCACAGGGCAAGGTTAGCAGCTGCCTCCTTGATGCCCCCAACGCCCCTGCCCGCCCCCAGCGCCCCCGCCCGCCCCCAGCGCGCCCGCCTGAGTGTGCAGGTGGGGCGTGCACTGGTGTGAGCAGGGTGGGCACAGGCACAGGGTCACTCACCCAGCTGCACGTCACAGAGCGGCCCGGTCCAGCCCTCGTCACAGAAGCAGGAGCCAGAGCCCCCGAGGCCCTCATCACAGTGGCCATGAGCGGTACAGAGACAGGCTGCAGAGGGGGGCAAGCAGGAGGATGGAGTTGGCACGTGGGCCAAGAGAGGCGGGGCAGGACGGGGCGGGGCAAGACAGCACACCTTGGCAGTTGGGCCCAAAGGCCCCTGGGGCGCAGAGCTCACAGGCCGTCCCAGCAAACCCCGAGTGGCACCTGCACTGCCCGCTGCCGCTCATGCCGTCCATGCACACGCCATGGTCACTACAGGGGTGGCTGGCACCCCCAGGGCAAGCTAGGGGAGAAGTGAAGTGAGGTCAGGGACTCTCCTCAGGGCTGTCTGTCCCTGTCCCCCACACGCACCCCCAGCCCAGGCACACCCTCCATCCACCACCCAGTGGCAGCCTGGGCTCTTCCAGATGTAGCCACCCAAGTCCCATGTGCTGAGGACACTGCAGGGTCCTTTCCCATCTACACACCCCTCCCACCTCAGAGCATCCTCTCCTAGTAAGATCGACTCGCCACCCCAGCCCCTGAGCGCCCAGCGCCTCCCAGAAAACGGCGGGCCCTGCCGTGGCAGCCAGAGCCGGTCAGCGGCGTCTGCGCCTCGGGCGCTCACCGCGGCACTCGCTGCCGTAGTGGCCGGAGCAGCAGCTGGGCTTCCAGGTGGTGGTGACGCAGTTGCGGTGGCAGCCCCTGGCCAGGCTTTGGGGCTGGCCCCAGAGGTTGCGCAGCGCGAAGGAGCGCAGGGCAGGGGTTGTCCAGATCTTGGAGAAGTAGCGCAGGCAGGCCTTGGGGTTTCCCTGAGCCAAGAGGAGTCAAACAGCCTGAACTTGGAGGACCTGGGCCCTGCCCGAACCCCCACTCAGCTCCCAGCCCCTCACCTGCTCCTGGGAACCCTCAGGACAGGGCGGTTCCTGCCCGCAGATGCTGCAAATCTTCTAGAAGGAATGGAGGCCAACACACAGCAAGGTCAGACGGGTGAACGGTACAGGTGGGCGTGGGCCCTTGCCTGTCGGCCTCTGGCCTTCCTTACCAGCCACAGTGGCTGCGTCTCAAAGCGGTCACAGCGGGCCCCAAGGCCCGGGGGTTCCAGCAGCTGGTCAATGCCGTAGGCCAGGCCCCCTTCGAAGGGCAGGTGCCGCTGCACGATCCGGGCACCATCCTCGCCCACCACGAGCTCGCCCTGCAGGCGGGCGGGGTGGGATACGCGGGGGTCCCAGGTGCACAGCAGCCCGGCCCCAGTTCCAGGGCCCCTGCCCCCTTCCCTCCCTCCAGCCGCCTCCCCAGGCTCACCGGCCGGGCCCGGCTGCAGGAGAAGGAGATGGGGTTCCCGTGCAGGGTGCGGAGTGGGCCCAGGTTGGGCAGGTCGGACGCCACGGCCTGAGCAGATGAGGCGGTGATTGGAGCTGGGCGGGCAGGCTGGGGGGCAGGCAGCGGGGGCCGGGGGTGCGCCCACCTCTATGTTCCGGATCACGTGGCCCCGGAGGATGGCTGCCAGCTTGTCGCGGTGGTCCTCGTGGTACAGCCAGGCCTGGCGGTCGGGCGGCAGGGCTCGCAGCGCAGAGTCCGTGGGCCACAGCATCGTGAAGGGCCTATGGGACGCGTCCCGAAGGAGGGGCAGGAGACCAGCCGCCTGGCGGGGGGGAGGGGGGGGCGAGGTGGGCGGCCACGGCCCCCGTCAGACGGGTGGGTGGAGGCAGGGGGCTGGGCCACAGAGACCCAGGCAGCCTTCCCGCCAGCCTCCCCCTCCTCTGAGGCCATCCCAGGCAGGGATGAGGATGTACAAGGGACAAACTTGCACACACTCTGACTACTGCCGGTGCATCCTTGTGCTCACACGGGGAAGCCCACCCATACCACCATGGCCTGAGCACACACACGTGCTCTCTGCACACAGGTGGGCGTGCACACACCAACAGGCCCGCCCACGGGAGCATACCGTCACAAGGCTGCTGAAGATCTTGTAGCCGAAGCTGTCCGCAGCGGCCGTGACGTTTCTCTAGGGGGAAGCGCTGTGAGCTGTGCGCTCGGGTGGGGAGGGGGGAGGGCTCTCGAACCCCAGCCACCTGCCCCCCAGGTCATACCCGCGGGGCCGGGGCGTCCTCCGGCTCCCAGTGCAGCACGTCTGGCGGCAGCAGGACTTTGTCAATGAAGTGCAGGATGCCGTTCAGCGCCTGGTGGTCACTGCTCACCACGCGCGCGAAGTCATTGATGTATATGCTGCCCTGGGGGCGAGGCCA